AGGTTTTTGAACCAAAGGCTTTGGTTGAGAACCCTAATCGTTCTCCTGTCTAGGCCTGGGCAACCTGACAGTATTCTGCCCACGCAATACAATGAATCTTCCTCCAAACAAATTGCTGATGCTCTGGCCACCGCAGAGGATAATCAACGGTGCCCTATCTGCTGCATCGAGCAGGGTGGATAGGGGTTTGGATGCTACTGCTCAGGCCTTCCCGTCTTCTTATACCCCTTCTTGCGCTTCTGCATCCTTATTGTCCCGCTCCAACTTTACTTACACCCCCCCATTTTCAATCCCTAATTCTTGGCCCTCCCCAGCTTACTTCAATAGTCGTTTGTCTTCTTATTTCAAATCACACACAATCGCAAGGCTTCGCTCCAATCCAGTCGACAAGTCCATGTTTAACCAAGCGGACAACGTCAGTTCATCCGTTTCCCTTTGGAGTCCTCGTGTCTCGCTAAGACTGGCATGCCTCAACGTGCGCACTTTGCTGCAGATTGGCCAACAGGCAGCACTTGCCCGCACACTAGAGACCCTATCGATCGATATTTGCTGTTTATCAAAAAACCCGCCTGCAAGGTTCGAGCTCCGTGCTTACTCTGAGATCCCCCACATGCGACACAGGCGGCACATTCTCATTGCGCCTATCTGGCGATGATGCAGCTTCAAATGCCGGTCAAGCTGGCATCGGCATTGTTTTGAGTCCCCGGGTTGAAGCTGCCCTGCTTGCTTGAATCCCAGTAAACAGTAGGATGCGCGCCGTTAGATTAGCTGGTTCGTTCCGTGCTACGAAGTCGCGCGGGGACAAACGGTGCCTGTTTGTCATTGCGGCCTACGCCCCTACAAACTGTAGCACTGATTCGATAAAAGATGATTTCTATCAGCAACTTCACGAGCTCCTTCGTTACAGAAGAAGCACGGATACTGTGGTGTTGGCTGGCGATCTAAACGCCCAAGTCGGAAAATTGTCCTCTGATGAGCTTCATCTGGGCGGCCAACATGGTGTAGGCTCCCGTAATGATAATGGTGAGCGATTAATACAGCTGTGTGAAGATGCGCGCCTGTTTCTCGCGAGCACTAACTTTCGACACAGCACCCGCAGAAGTGTGACTGGGCGACCACCAGCCTCGGGCCAGTCATGGACGCAACTCGATCATATCGCGATCAGTTACCGCTGGAGAGGCTGTGTCCAAAACTGTCGCTCAATTTGGAGCACGAGCGTGGACTCTGACCACGCACTTGTCTGTGCCGACCTCCGAGTGCGTTTCGGTGGACGTCCGCGACGTCGATGTGAACGAATTGACAATAGCCAGCAGGTGAAGCCAGGTGTTCTGAATGTGTACCAAGATGCGCTGACATCTGGGCTGAGTAGGTGCCCAGTAAACACCGTTGAAGATCACTGGTCACATACTCGTCAAGCGTTGCTATTAGCAGGCATGTCTTCATGTGGCAAAGCAAATTGCAAAACCGGACATTGGGTCTCTACACAGTCTCTGGAACTTATGGATGCCCGCCGACGTATTCCGGCTGGAAGCGAATACAATGAAGCTCGCAAAAATCTCAGGGCAAAACTACGTACTAGCCTGAAGAAGGACCGCGAAACCTGGTGGTCTCATCGTGCCTCTGAGATGGAAACAGCCGCTGCCATTGGTAATCATCGTAAGTTATACCGTCTGATACGGGAAACAGGCAGCAGGAGACCTGGTGTTAGCGAGACCATACGCAGCCATACGAGAGTGGGCAGCCGATACCACAGCCTGTCAAAACGCTTGGAGCGTTGGGCTGAACACTTTGCGAGGCAAGTTAACCAACCTGAGTTATCGCTTTCTTCTGGCATTGAGCGCCCTTCTCCTTGGGCCGTCTCCTTGGCTCCGCCCTCACGCGCAGAGGTCGAACGTGAGATCGGGCTGTTGAAATTGCATAAGGCTGCAGGGGCAGATAGAATTCCCCCAGCCCTCTTCAAATTCGGGGGAACTGCTCTAGTAGATGATCTACACGAGTTGCTAGTAAAACTTTGGGAGCAGGAGACAGTACCGACAGACTGGAACCGCTCCGTCATTGTCCCAATTTTCAAGGGAGGCTCCCGTTTGGAATGCGGCAATCATAGAGGGATCAGTCTGATTTCGATTGCCTCTAAATTGCTTGCCTCTGTCATTCTCTACAGACTGACTGGCACTCGTGAAAGCCAGATTCGTGAAGAGCAAGCCAGATTTCGTCGAGGTCCGGGCTGCATCGACCACATCTTCACATTGCGTCAAGTGTTGGAGCACCGCCATGTTTATTGGCGACCCACCGTTGTCGTGTTTCTTGACATAAAAGGTGCCTTCGACTCAGTCGATCGATGTGCCCTTTGGGACTGTCTGCTGAGGGAAGGTGTGCCTGATAAATATGTAAACATTATCAAAGCGCTGTACGCACATAGTTCGGGCAGGGTGAGGGTTTATGGCAAACTCTCGCCACCCTTCAGTATCACCAGCGGTGTGAGACAAGGATGCCCGCTGTCACCTTTCCTCTTCAACTTCGCTATTGATGAAGTCATGGAAACAGCGTTCGCTGGACACGACCTAGAAGGTGTGGAGCTACTTCCTGGTGAGCGACTTCTTGACTTGGAGTATGCGGACGACGTTGCCCTAATCTGTGACAGCTCCCAAACATGCCAAATAGCACTGAACCGATTAGCACTGGCTGTCAATCGTTTTGGGCTATGCTTTGCTCCATCGAAATGCAAAGTACTTCTCCAAGATTGGCAGGGACCCATCCCTGCGCTAACGCTTGGTGGCGATCTGCTAGAAGTCGTTCAGGAATTTAAGTACCTGGGCAGCTATATTAGCACCCGTGGGATTGAAGATGAGGTTACGAACCGTATAACAAAAGCTCGAGTTGCTTTTGCCAATCTCCGCCATCTGTGGCGCAGAAGCGACATTACTCTCGCCCTCACGGGCAGGGTTTACAACGCAGCCGTCCGTTCAACTTTCCTATATGACTGTGAAACCTGGCCCATCAGGTCGACAGACATGAAGAGACTCATCACATTCGATCATCGTTGCCTTCGCAGCTTAGCTCATGTCTGGTGGGAACACCGCGTGAGCAATGGGCGTGTTCGGCGTCGCGTATTTGGTGCAGGAAAAGCGAGTGAACCGCTCAGCACCATTATATCACTCCCTAGACGGCTCCGATGGCTGGGCCACGTGTTGCGCATGCCAGCACACCGACTCCCACGACGTGCATTGTTTGCGCGTTGTGGGTGCGGTTGGAAGAGGAGGAGGGGAGGCCAAGTGATGACTTGGTCGAGAGAAATGAAAACACTCACTTCGAAGTTGGCGTCGGTTGGTGCACCCCGACTGCCTGGCTGGGGTCCTAAGGACAGTGAACACGTTTGGTTGGACACATTTGCTGATATGGCTTGGAGCCGGCCTCATTGGCGTTTGTGTTGTAATTTCCTTGGTCCATCCCCACCTGTTTAGCATCCCCCTCCAATCACGATCTCACCTGTTAGGCATAATATGACTTTCTTTTACGGCAGCCAGCTGTTAGCTCTCCGGAACGATGTCCATCCGTTACTGGGGACTCAGCGGGCGTGCCACTGTCTGTTTTTCTTTTCTTGCCTTTTGTATTGCGGCACAATAGCTGAGGGGTTTTCCACCTCCAGCTAACGTGCAATGATGATGATGATGATGATGATGATGAATTGCCAGTAAACCGAGTTACACGTGCTGTTCTCCCAATGGGTGGCACCGAACCGTACGTTGCATACCGTGCTGGTGGGTTTCTCCTCAAGATTACAGCTCACGTGAGGGATCTCGGGGTTATCGTGACTTCTGATTCTAAAACGACGCAAGGCAGTTGAAGAATGTGGTACATGGAAGGAGACTTGGGGGTGCCTCAAGAAGATCACTGGCTCGAAGGGCACCTGAGTTGTTCGACCATTGTTCACTTTGTACGTTCGTCCAGGCTTAGCATATGACAAACCAGCTATTTATGGGCTTTCAAATTTTGTATGCGTCTGTTGCAAATGGTTCAGAGACGTGTATCGAAAGCTGTACTGGGGCTCCGTTACCTCCCGTACCCTATTCGACTCCAGCAGCCAAATCTGTTCTCCCTCGACCTCCGCCGTCGCCAGGGTGATCTCCCCTACACTAAGCGCATCCTCCGAGAGGAACTTGTAACTGCGTTTCAACACTTCTGCCGGCCCAACCCCGACTGTTCCACACGACGTCACACATGGAAGCTATTTAAGCAAAGAAGAGAGAAGGCGAATGGACGTCACCCCATCCACTAGAAGGCTGAATGATTGGAAGCGCCTACCGGAAGAGATTGCAGACACCCCGTCCGATGAAAGTTGCAAGCGTGCTAGAGAAACCTTCTCTGAGAATGCTGGAAGCCTGCGGTTTTCACTGTAATTACCGCGCACACTTGTGGAACGTCGTAATGCAACGACACGCATCAAACCCAATATGATACGGAATCGATGGGCTCACAAGGTAGTTCCTGCTATCTACAACGCAATGAACTCAATTATGAACATAAACTGTACGGTGATAGCTGCAGCCTTAAATGATATGGCATTTTGTAGTTTAAACAACTCAGTCCCGAGTTAACATGTCAACAAATATTGCAATAATTTGAAAGCAGTCTGTGCGAAATCGGGGAGTGTTTTACTCACGGAATGGCTGAAGACTATTTCACAGCAAGCATACCTAAAACCGGTTTTATGAAAAAGGTAAAGACAGTTTAGATAATAACTGTAATTAAAGTATACATTACTATTAAGTACAAAGGTTAGGTATGTGACTAACGTATTTATATGTAATAGGATTAAAGGAAATAAAAGGAAATAACAAATTATGTAAAGTTGAATTCTAGTAAAATGTATAGCTATATACTCATGCAACTTTCGATGCTATAAAGTTATTATGCGTTTGTGCACTTAATAACTGAATCACTCCAATAACATCTGCTGTACCCATCCACAGAGCTCATTTTGGACCAATTTACTTTCCGTCAGATGGACGTCTGATGTGTAGTGAGTCGGTGTTTGTTGATAGCTCTGCCTAGAGTACTATTGTCATGTGCTCTTCACTTTGCCTTCCCATTTTGCTTTCACTGTCGTTATAGCAGCCAGCACCCGTGCGTTTTCACCTCATCCTTCCATTCACTTCAGGCTCGATGATCCACGTGTCTACCAAAACCTGCATCGAAAGGATAGTGGGTCAGCCTTGCCATCACAGCCGCACTGCTCAATGCGGGGAATTATTCTCAATGTGTCAGAGGTCTTCACAATGCTGACCAGTTTGAACCCGTATAAATCAGCTTTTCCTGATAGTGTACATCCCGCCATAGTTAAGCCTCTGGATGATATCCTTCAGTATCCCGTAGCGGAGTTATTCAACCAGTCTCTTCAAGAAGGCAAGCTGCCACGTGGTTGGAAGGAGGCGACTATTGTTGTCATCCACAAGGGGGGTTCTAAGTCGGTGCCTCTTAACTATAGCCCTGTTAGTTTGACCAGCATCATGCTGAAATGCTTGGAAAAGCTTATAAGGAAAAGGATCTGTGAGCACTTGACTGAGCAAAATCTAATTAGAGCGGAACAGCATGGATTACTTAAAAAGAAGTCTTGTCTTATCAATTTATTGTGCTTTTTAGACGAGATTACTCGATGTCTTGATAGTGGGATATCGGTAGAGGTGTGATATTTGGACTTTAGTAAAGCCTTTGACTCAGTGAATCATCGATTTTTACTTGAGAAGCTGACATGGTTTGAATTGCATCCTCAACTATTACCGTGGATCTGAATTCTTGCATGGAAGGACATTCAGAGTCAGGGTTGGGGAAGCGAGTTCTAGTGTTGGCCATGCCTACAGCGGTGTCCCCCAAGGTTCGGTAATGGCTCCGTTGTTGTTTCTTATGTTTATAAATGACCTGGCTCCTCTTCTTTAGGATCCCTGCTACATCTTCGCAGATGACTTAAAGCTTGTCAGTAGGGGAAACCGAGCGACATTGGCTAAGGACATCATCACTGTGATGAATTGGTCAAGCCAATGGGATCTACCTCTAAATGCCAACAAATGTCAACTATTGACTAGTAGTGGTAGCGGAATTGCAGTTCAGTCTCCTGTGGGATCTCTATCATTGCGGTGTACTGATGAAGCCCGTGACCTAGGTGTCATCGTAGCGAACAATTTTAAGCCTTCGGCACAGTGTCGTCATGTTGCCAATAAAGCGCGACACGAGTTATTTCGTCTTAGGTGGGCGCTGAGTAACGCTAAAACAGAAGTATTCTTACCGTTATATAAAGCAGTGGTTAGGCCACATCTGGAGTATTGTGTTCAGGCCTGGTCACTGTACCTCCGGAGTGACATCATTTGTATAGAAAAGATTCAGAAACTTGCGACCAGGATGATTGAAGGTCAACGAGGGAAGTCTTACGAAGATCGTCTAAGTAGCTTATGATTATTTTCCTTGGAACGGCGTAGGTTGAGAGTGGATTTGATAGATATGTTTAAGATCATTAAGGCACTTAGTGGTATTAGTTCCACCCATCTGTTTGAGTTGGCTATGTCAGACCATCTGCGTGGGCATCGCCTGAAGCTCAAACATCATAGAGCTCGTTTGGACATCAGGGCAAAGTTTTCTACGAACCGAGTAGTTAACTTCTGGAATAAACTTCCTTCTGATTTAGTGGAGTCTGAGACAGTAGAAGCCTTCAAAAGAGGCTTAGACGATTTTTGGTCCATCATTTTTCCAGAGCTATTGTAGTTGTACTGGAATATGTAGTGTATTTTGATGCTGACATGTGAAAGTGCAAAGATTGCTTTTGTTCTTGCTTCATTCCATTGCAGAAGCAAGAAGAGACAATCCAACGTCGAAGTGCCCGGGGGCCGCTTCACTTACAGGCACAAGAACTGGACGCTCGTTAGGCGGAAGCCTCTGTCGTCCGTTTGACCTGACCTGACGTGACCTGATCCACAGGCAGCTGTGGAAATCATCCATTTCACCACAGGACAGGACAAGATTCAGGGGCGGACAAAGCTTCCACTTAACGGGACAAAATGGAGCTCGAGAGGGTTTTGAGAGTAGGTACCAAATTAGTCGAGGGGCTACGGGGGCAATCGTACTCCGAGCGTCTACTTAGCTTGGGTATGTATTCAATGCACTACCGACGGCTTCGAGGAGACCTAATCCTTACTTACCGCATTTTAACAGGGAAGGTTGGACCGGACTTGAGCTGGCTATTTAGCCCAGCTAGGTTGCCTTGTCTTCGCGGTCATCCCATGGAGCTACACAAGCCGCGTTCTGACCGGATCAGGGCGGAAACTCGGTTATCGCGTAGAGTTATCGAGCGCTGGAACTCGCTTCCAGAAAGTGTAGTCAGTGAACCTACGGTTAAGGGTTTCAAGCGTCAGTTAGACGCTCTTGGGGGGCAACACGAAACCTTTCCCTTCTCCTGACCATATCCATCTTCAAACTTTAGTTCTTATTCTGTCATTCTCTTCACTCATTGGTGTCATCATTTAAATGACTTTCATTCCCCTTTATCTTCCATTTACTTTCTACATCTTTCTTCACGTAACCTACACAGCGGGGACTGCTAGTGCAGGGAACGTGGGCAGTAATTGGTTGACCAGGGTGTTTCGGGTGTTTCGTTTTAGATCTATCAAGACATCCTAGTACCGTATCATTTCCTGGCCCAACGATTTGCTCAAGAAGGAACACTCAAAGGATTTTCCTATCGTTCCAATCCATCTGAATCTCCTGTTTCGTGTGTCAGTAAGTGAAAAAGGGCCCTCAGCACTACGACGCGATAGATTATTCTTGATTCCCTAATGGTGAAGAAACAGAAGCAAGTGCAAGACGAACAACACACTGTCATGAAGTAATGTGATTAGGGGCAGTCACTGAAGCTCAAAGAAATTCGGGAAACAGGGCCATCCAATGTTTGTCTAGGCTACGTTTAAATTCCTCCAGTTTCGCATGCTAATAGTGCGGAAGGAAGTTTATTCCAAACAGGCACAACCCGGCCTAGATCTATGCTGCTTCGATTTCATGCAATGGCCCCGCAAGTTGTCTGACGTAGCTGGTTCTAACAGATCGATTGGCCTGAGACTTTTCATGATTTTAACCGTCCCATTAAGACCACTCAATCTGCGTATTTTTTGAGAACAAACCCAAGTTAGCGAACCGATCTTCATACGGTAACCCGCGCTGGTCTTCTATCATTGGTGTGGCCAGTCTTTTCACATTCTCAATACAAATATTATTTTTCTGCAGGTAGGGTTCTCATGCCCGAATACAGTATTTCAGGTGTGGTCTGACCACAGCTTTGAACAAGGAAAGAATGACCTCTGGCTTGGTACAACTCAGAATTCCTGAAACGAAATAACTCCTGTCGCGCTTTATTAGCCGCATGCCTGCATTGCGCCGATGGCTTAGTCACTCGTCACGATGACACTTATATAAGGTACCTCGGTGACATGCTGCAGTGTTAGGGACCCATTAGATGTATTCACTGTAAACACTTCATCACACGGGGTTAGGATTTGACATATGCTGGTGTTCAGTGGAAAGTCCCACAAATTCGACCAATTAAGAACGGTAGCAAAATCTCTAGATAACGAAGCCCTGTCTTCCCTGCTGACAAGCTTCGAGTTGTCAGCAAACTCATAGGAGGAGTTTTCAAGTAGAGGGACCAAGTCATTTATAGACATGAGAAAGAGCAACGGACCAAGTACTTATCCCTGGGGAACTCCACTGTTAGCAGTGCCTGCCGTCGAAATAACTTCACCAACCCTGACACGGAATGTCCTACCATAAAGGAATGCACAGCCAAGAAATCAGTTGAGGAAGGATTCCAAACCAGGACATATTTTCTAACAAGAAACGGTGGTTTACCGAATCAAAAGCTTTACTGAAGTCAAGGTAACATACTTCTACTGGTATGCCATCATCGCGACATCAAATTGTTTCATCAAGGAAACACAGCCGGTTGGTAAGATATGATTTTTTCTTGAAGAGGCCATGCTGTTCTGCTCCGATTAAGTTATTAACAGCGATGTTTACAGATTCGATTCCTGTTGATATTCTCTAGACACTTGAGAGCACTAGTCAGACTAACAGGCCGGTAGTTATTGTGTAAAGATTTAGTTCCACCCTGGTGAACCGCCACTAAAACCGCTTCCTTCCACTCCTGTGGTATCCTCCCCTCCCGAAGAGACACGCTGTACAACACAAGGGTAGGAAGCTGGAGTATGTCATCAATTGGCTTAATAATAGCGGGATGCACATTATCGGGGCCAGGTGATTTTTATGGGTTTAAGTCCTTCAATACGGAGAAGACGTCTGCAGCAGTTATGATGCTTTCATCCGTTTTGCACTCACTTACGCGGTGCGAAGACAACGGTATTGAAAAACCATTGTTCGCTCGGTGAACTCCAGAAAACACGACAACTTCTGCACCTTATCATGGTCTCCTGTAGCTTGTTATCCATCTTCTGTGATTAAGTTGCCAACTACTTCCCTTAAAGAGGCTTTAGACTGAACATAGCTGTTATCACACTAGGTTCTTTTTTGCGTTTTGCGCCAGCCTAAGCTCATAGGAGTATTTGGCCTGCCTCTGCAGTTTGACCACCAAATTTCGACTTCTTTTGTACTCAAGCCACCTGCGGAAACCACCAGACTCATGATATCTTTTCCAATGAATATTCTGCCGTTTCAACACCCAATCAATAAGTCGGCGCTACCAGCGAGGCTTATCTGAATGGCGCCTGCACAGGGGAGCGAACTCCTCTAGCAACTGCGTGAGGCCACTTTTGATCACGTGCCACCTCTGTTCCAGCGTTGCTTCCTCTTGTTCAGGAACCTAGGTAATGCGTGCGGCTCTATCCCTCAGAAGCCTTGTATTAATCCGGCTTAGTCCCCGCGTCAGTCGGGGTTCAGCTGAGAGCCTCGGTCCGAAAATGGAGAAGGAAAGAACGAGATGATTGCTCTCACCTATATGAGGCTCAACATTTATGGCTGACGAGCCAC